CGTTTTTTGTTTTTAATATGTTTCCCTTAATTCTAGGCTTAAAAATGCACTCAAAGTTGAATGTTCTTAAATTAAGTTTTGGTCAGGCAATCAAAGCACCCTTTATCCTTGAATCGAAGAGGGGACGGTCATTTATCTTTCTCAATTTCTACATTTTTATGTTCATTTACGGTATGTTCGTCTTTGACAAAATAATTATTATTCTGAGATCTCGCTGATGTTACCTGACATTTCAGCTTTCTCATTTCTTCTGAACTACTTGATCGCTTGTATCATCTGCTCTTTGCTTTTTCCTAAGTATTTTTTCCCACAGATAATTTTTATAACACTGAATATATATATATAAAATATAAGACTCGAAAAATTTAAGTTTAAAGTTTATGACGTTTATAACATATTTTTTGGTATGTTATAACGTTTTTAGTATATAAAAGTTTTGTGATGTCAACGAAGACTCGTTGCCACATCTGTGAAGCCAACGAATATTCGTCGTCACTTTCGTAATTCTCGTTGTAGTCGAGATTTGTAATTGCATATACAACTATAGTAACGCCGTTGAACAATACTGGTGTCAGACGCCTTCGATTATAACTCGCATTAATAATACTTGAACGATAATCCTCGATCGAATAGTAATCACCGTATAGTGATCTGAATCGTTAATAGTATAGAAAATAGTGGCCCATAAAGTAATAGAGGATAGAGTAAAAATGGCGATCCGAATAGTAACAGATGATGAAATAGAAATAGTGATCCGTATAGTATAGAGGATAGACTAGAAATATCGATCAGACGTCACGCGACTTCCTGTATATACACTTCCCCTATAGTGAAGTGGTCTACTTAATTCAATAATTGGATCACTTGTGTTTGCTCACTGGCGATATATGTTCAAACTCAAGTGTCGGCAGCGACACTTTATTCCTTTATAAAAAAAGAGAATGGTCTTCACAAGAAAAATGTTCCGATAGTATCAAGCAGAAATCAAGAACAAATTTCAGACGGCAGAATAATGAATATAATCCATGATGTATGAATAACATTTTCGCATGTACACAGATATGACAGAATTGAATAGATGCTCACAGAAACCGTTTATTTTATTAAACAAGTAATTTATACAAATGAAATAATTATAAATGGTCATAAATTTAATAACTAATACTTGGTTGACATCCGTTTTGCTTTTTTGATGCAAGGACCCTTCCAGGCATGCTAGCGATGAGTTTACGAATATCATCTTGAGGGATTTCTTGCAATGTTTGACGCAATAATCCTAAAATTTCGGGCTGAGAAGATGGCTTCCTGTTCTTTTTGTGGAGTTTTCAATCTAATATGCCCCAAAGGTGTTCAATAGGGTTAATATCCGGGGACTGACTTGGCCATGGATTTTTATTGATCCCATTTTGTCTCAACCAATGTTGCGTTTCTTGAGCAGTGTGACATAGAGCACCATCTTCCATAAATGGGGAATCAACTTTGCTCATTCTACTACTTGAGAATATTGGAAGGAGCCCTTTCTTTAATATAGAAACATATATGTTTGAATTAATGTTTCCTTCACACTCCACAAGCTCTGAGCGACCATCACTCCAAATTGCACCACATACCATTACTGAAAGGCCCCCATGTTTAACCGTTGGCCGCAGTCTTTTTAAATCAAACTCTTGACTACAGAGTCTCCATACCCATACTCTTCCACTGTCGGAAAATAATGCGAATCTTGACTCATCAGAGAAAATGACAGTGCTCCAAAAGATCATAGGACTCTCCACCATCTCATAAGCCCAATCCTTTCTGCGTTTGATATTGGCTGGACGGAGAAGTGGTTTCCTTCTTGCAGCTCTGCCATAGTAGCCCAGCTTGTGAAGATACCTGACAGCTGTTCTGGGACTGACATCAACTTGTGTTGCTATGTCAGAGGCTTTGCAACGTGGATCCTGCTCAACATTTCTTTCGACAAGACGCATGGTTCTTTCAAATTGCCCAGTGCGGTCTGGATGAAGTTTTGTGCACTTCTTGTCATCTCTGGTGAATTATACGATTACTATTAACAGTAGAAAGGGGTATTGAAAGATTTTCAGATATTTTTCTTTGACTAAGACCACCTTCATGTTGGCCCACGATACGTCCTCGCTGAAATTCAGATAGGTCTGATGCTCCTTTGGTTCGTGACATGTTCCAATATTGTTATCTGCAATTTTAATCAAATAATCTAAGTTAACTTATCTTGGTTATCAAAAAAAATCAGAAATAAAATTTTTCTTGGTGTCTATTCAATTCTGTCATGCCTGTGTATATTAGAGGAAACAGAAGAAATAGCAGTAAACATACGCAAATGTCAATCACCTTGCGACGTCTCTTCAAGACTTAAGCCATTGTAGCTCTCCGCAACTTCCTAACAATGTAAGCTCTTAGCAATATTTGTTTTTTTACTACCCCCCCCTGCTCAATACTCTGCTATATTCGCCTGTTCTTTTTGCATTCAATGACTAACAAATTTTCCAAAATATTTTACCTCTTTAGACACCGTAGAAATTTCTTTCTGATTCTAAGACTAAGTGTAAAGTAAAAATGTCAGAATCAACCCAAAAATTTATGAAAATCCGAGAACCTATAAAACGGAGAGAAATGCAAATAAGAAAATTGAATAAAGAGAAAA